AAGTCCTTGCAGACTTGGCACAGATTATCAAAGTTACAAACAAACAGTCAATAGATGAAACCACAGAGATATGCTTTCTTTCTCTTTTTCTCCAGTCAGAGTCAACTTTCCCCCAGAAGGCAGAGAAGATCCTGGAATCTTTTCACCCTAACCCTAAGCTGCCATGGTTAGAAAAAAGCAGGGTTTTTTCCCCTATCTATAGCTTAAGGTTAGTTCTGGAGACAAAGCATTGAAATCTCTCTCTATATAACTATATAACTCAATCTTCTTAGTTAAGCTTATCTATCTGTAGTATCTCAATCAGCTATAACTCAGTATCTATCTATAATATCTTAATTCCCAAGATATAAGATATGAGATATTAAGATATAGCTTAATATCTTAATATATAGCTTAATATCTTAATATCTCAATTGTCTTAATATAGCTTAATATACAATATTAAGCTATTCAAAAAGGGAGGTCTCAAGCCCAGGAGAAGGGGCGGACTCCAAAACCAAAGAGCTGCTCTCTAGGCCAATAGTTGCAAAGAGGCCTGCAGGCTGGCTTTCCAGCCTCTGAAACTGTTAACTTTCAGGGTTCTTGCAGAGCTGCAGCAGCCCTGGGAGAAAATGCAAGGGGGAGCAACTTCAAGCAACTGTAAAATAAGGCAAACCAGGCTCCTGGGAGACAGAACATATATAAAGGCGATGATTCAGTCCAATTTCTGTATACACCTGCTGATTAAAACTAAATTTTGATGGACATCATTGTATGAATGAGTGATATTTGTATAGCAAATGTATTCCATGCAGCTCATTTTTATCCTTTTTTCTCCACCTCAAAAAATGAGAATGGAAATTGATTTTATTTAATCAATAATACCATGGCTTTTTGCTTTATGGTTTATGGCATTATGTTTTCCAACACATTGTTTGAACTTCTATCTACTTATAAAAAGTATTTCCCATCAACATATCCTTTGGATTCCAGAAAATGGTCTGTTGCCCTGACTTTCTACACAGTTGACTTGCCATCGAATCGATGTATCTGTCAACATAGGTTTAAATTTACAGTGTGGGGGCCAGTGAGTTTCAAGAGGCAGGTGCAACAATTGGGGTAGGTCAATTCAATTCTCACGCTTCTCCCGTCCCAAATAAGCCTTTGCAATTGCCTCTTGAAAAATAGGTGCCACTCATGTAGGGCATTCAAATTAGTAAATCGGTCAATTTTGGGGGGTTTTTTGGAAAGGCAACATCCATAATAGCGGTCTTCCCTTGAGGGCTGTTGTACCTTTGAATGTTATATCCTCCCATCCCCATGCTTGCAAAATGACCAAGACACTAAAACTTTTCCTCACATAATCTGACCATGAAGTATGTTTGTCAAACATCTGCATTCTAAAACAGCCATCCAAGAAATAAAGCAAACGGATTTGTGTGCTGCTTCTGTTGTGTTTTCTGTTCTGTTTGAGTGAAAGGATTAGATTTTAAATGGCAAACTGTTTTTAATGTATATTTATAATAATTTTAATGTATGCTGTGTGTATTTTATGCTATGTTATTTATTGTGTGGTACTGAATAGTGCCTGTTGGTAGCCGTCCTGAGTCCCTCTTTGGGGGTGGAAAAGGATGGGATAGAAATGCTCCTAATAAATAAATAAATAAATAAATAAATAAATAAATAATAAAAACACCAAATGGCTATTTAATCTTGGTTACTTTTAGGATGTTGCAAATAAGAAGAGGAGAAAGGGGCTGGCAACTAGGGAAGTTACATTTGAAGTGAGCAAATTTTCAGTTTTATGTATGGAAATAACAGTACCATCCCGCTTTGTAAAATTTCACATTCATAACAACTTAGGAAGATTTTTCTGTGTTTTATAGCATTGTGGTGTGGATTTCATAAAGGTATAATCTTATTCTTGAATTTGTCCTTTGCTGAATGTAGCATTTGTTGTATTTTCTTAGCGGATCTGTAGATCTTTTTAGGTTGTACATAATTTAAAAACTCTAAAATGAGGACAATAAATAAAGAGCAACACTCAAAAAACAGGGGATTTCCAGACAGGAAACAAATGGGGCCAGCTAACACCTCCCAACAAAGGATTCCCGCAGGCAGGAAGCAGCCAGGCTTTGAAGCTGCAAGGCCATTCAATGCTGATCAAGGTGGCCAGTTGCAACATTCACATTGTCTCCAACAGACAAGAGTCTCCCACTCTGAACATTTCACAGATACTTAAACCCCACTTGCCTAGTTTCCAACAGACCTCACAACCTCTGAGGATGCCTATCATAGATGTGGGTGAAACGTCAGGAGAGAATGCTTCTGGAACATGGCCATGCAGCCCAGAAAACTCACAACAACCCACTGCTATAGTATTTCTGAGACAGATTTACAGTTATTTTTTGAATAAATAGTAACGCATGGTAAGTTGTACCTATCCTAAGAGTACTTGGATAAATGCTGCTACACTTAAGTAAGGAATGGACACCTGGAGCCTGCTTTCTGCACAAATCCTTGATTTTGAAATGCCAAACAATTATAATGCTTTAACATTGCTCCAAAATTCACAATTGTCCACATGGGTGCTGAGATAGTGACACCTTCACTTTCTGATGCATAAAAATATTCAAAAATAGTGTGTTTAAAATCAAGACTGTGGAACGACCTGCCGGAAATGATCTAACAGCTAAACGAGCTGTCAGAAATTAAAACACATTTGAAGACCTGTCTCTCCCAGCAGGCCTACCCAGTCAGTTTTAATCATGAATTTTAAACTCATGTGTTGTGTTCACTATATTTTAATCTTTGTTCTTTGTTCAAATATATGCATTTGTAAAAATATGTTTTAATATGTGTATTTTATATGTTTATGATGATTATGTGTTTTAGCTATATTGTAACCTGCCTTGAGCCACAAGGAGTGGTGAGTAAAAAATAAAATAATAATAATATTCTTGCTTGTAATGTGTATCATCACATTCATTAAATACTACTGAAAACAGGGGAGGGACAGTGAGCAGGAACAACTCTCTACAATGTGATGGTAAATCAACTCCTGAATAAAACTGATAGTTTGCTAGTAGGAAAATCATCCATTTAATTTCAAAACAGAGTACGCCTGAGCATGTATGATAAATGTACACTTCCAAACATGACATGATCAATGGAATGAAGTCTATAGCTCTTGTCCCCAATATATTTAATTAACCATATGCAAATATTCCGATAAACGGAATATCCCTAATTCCAAAAGACTGTGATCCTTCAATCATTTCAGATATGGGATACTCAACCTGTAATTTAGGTTGCATCTAGACTGTAGAATGAATGCAGTTTGACAGCACTTTAACTGCTATAGCTCAATGCTATGGGATCATGGGAGTTGTAGTTTTACAAGGTCTTTAGCTAGGTTCATTTGTTGATATATATTCAGGAGTAGCAGTATTGGGGAAAGGGCGGGACAGGGGGTGGAATCCACAAACGAACATATCTTCCTTGGCCAAACAAAATACATAAAACACATAATGCATTTTCCTTTATGAGTTCTATTTTTCTTAACAATTTCTTAACACTGTAGAATGAATGCAGTTCGACCCCACTTTTATTATTATTATTATTATTAACTTTATTTGTACCCCGCTAGCATCTCCTGAAGGACTCAATGCGGCTTACAAAGGCCAAGGCCTCAAAACATAGCATAAACAATACACAACTAAAACAAATCAAAACAATTAAAGCAATATTAAAACAACAACACAATAAAAGCAATACACAAAACACAGTAAAAACTGGGGCCGGGCCAAAGTAATGGGTACAGATTAAAAGTGCTGATGTGACAGGTGGTATGCCGGATTTTTACCTGACATGGTTCAAAGTTATGGGATCCTGGGATTTGTAGTTTTGCGGGGCACCAATCTTCTTTGTTAGAAAGCGAAGACCTCGTAAAACTACAACTCTCATGTTCCCATAGAATCGAGCCATTACAGGTTAAGTGTATATAATGCAGGAGTATGAATGCAGTTCGACCCCATTTTTTTCTGACATAGCTCAAAGCTATGGAATCCTGGGATTTGTAGTTTGGTGGAGCAAGAAAGCAAAGACCTTGTAAAACTACAACTCGCATGATCCCATAGCATTGAGCCAATACAGATCGAGTATATATAATGCAGGAGTATGAAAGCAGTTCAACTCCACTTTTACCTGACATGGTTTTCAAAGCTATGGAATCCTGGGATTTGTAGTTTGGTGGAGCAAGAAAGCAAAGACCTTATAAAACTACAATTCCCATGATCCCATAGCATTGAGCCAATACAGATCGAGTATATATAATGCAGGAGTATGAAAGCAGTTCAACTCCACTTTTACCTGACATGGTTTTCAAAGCTATGGAATCCTGGGATTTGTAGTTTGGTGGGGCAACAGTCCTCTTTGGCATAGAAAGCTAAAGACCTTGTAAAACTACAGCTCCCACGATCCCAAAGCATTGAGCCATGAGAGTAAATGGGCAAACTTGGGCCCTCCGGGTGTTTTGGACTTCAACTCCCACAATTCCTAACAGCCGGGAATTGTGGGAGTTGGGAGTCCAACTGGAGGGTCCAAGTTTGCCCATGATTGGATGCATTCTTAATTACAGCTTGAGTATATATATTCAGAAGTAGCCGTGTTGGGGAAAGGGAGGGGGGATGTGTATAGAGGATTTTCTGAGACTGACACGCTACTCCTTCAGGTAGGGCTCACGCAATGGAACGTTTGCTCGCCGCTAGCCAATCAGGACTGCAGAAAGACGCAGCGCGCCCGCCCCCTTCTGTCACTCTGCCTACCACTACAATCCCTTCTTCCTCCCTCCGCGCGCCGTTAGGCTTTCGTGGCCCCGCCCACTCCTTGCGTGCCTGGAGAGTGCGGGCGCGAGCTCGGCGTATTGGCGAAGCGGGCGGTTGCCTAGGCAACGTGTCACCGCCGGTGAGGAGAGCCCGGGCCGGGCAGAGTCGGAGGTGGGGATGAGGCGGCCCGAGGGGGAAGAAGGACCCGGAGGGGGAGGCCTAGGAGACTCCGTAGGCGGCGAGGAGCTTGGCGGCAGTGAGTGCGGGCAGTCGGGGGCCAAACGGGCGGGGGAAAGACCTTTCCCAGTACTTCTAGAGCCGTCCTGCGTAAACTTCGGCCCTTCTGTTTTGGACGACAACTCCCAGAATCAAAGAGTTGGAAGAGATCACGTGGTCCAACCCCCTGCCATGCAGGAAAAGCATAATCAAAGAATCCCTGACAGATGGCCATCCAGCCTCTCTTTAAAAGTTTCTAAGGAAGGTGCTTCCACCACGAGGCAGAGAGTTCCTCTGTTGAACAGCTCTTACGGTCAGGAAGTTTTTCTAAACGTTTAGAAGTAATCTCCTTTGGGTTGTTGTAGGTTTTTCCGGGCTATATGGCCATGTTCTGGAGGCAAATTTTCTCCTGACGTTTCGCCTGCATCTATGGCAAGCATCCTCAGAGGTAGTGAGGTCTGTTGGAAGTAGGAAAAAATGGGTTATATATCTGTGGAATGACCAGGATAATGTTTCAGCTGATCACCTTGATTAGCATTTAATGGCTTGGAAGTGCCTGGGGGGAATCTTTTGTTGAGAATGATTTGATGTGCCTGATTATTTACTGGTGTTGTAATTTTTGAGTTTTTTTTAATACTGGTAGCCAGATTTTGTTCATTTTCATGGTTTCCTCCTTTCTGTTGAAATTGTCCACATGCTTGTGCATTTCAACGGCTTCTCTGTGTAGTCTGACATGGTGGTTGTGAGAGTGGTCCAGCACTTCTGTGTTCTCAAATAATATGCTGTGTCCAGGTTGGTTCATCAGGTGCTCTGCTATGGCTGATTTCTCTGGTTGGAGTAGTTTGCAGTGCCTTTCATGTTCCTTGATGCGTGTCTGGGCGCTGCGTTTGGTGGTCCCTATGTAGACTTGTCCACAGCTGCATGGTACACAGTAGACTCCTGCAGAGGTGAGAGGATCCCTCTTGTAATCTCCTTTCCTGTAGTGTAAGTTGAAGCCATTGCTAGTTTCCAGGCCAGCAGCAAACAAGCTTGCTCCCTCTTCCTTATGACATCCTTTCACATATTGATACATGGCCATCATGTCTCCTCTCAGCCTTCTTTTCTGCAGGCTAAACAGACCCTGCGTGACCGCATCTCCGTCTGTGAACCCGCATGCTCTCTTCATTCATCCGGAGAGGCCCTGCTCACGATCCCACCTGCGTTGCAAGCGCGGCTGGTGGAGACGAGGGACAGGGCCTTCTCTGTGGTAGCCCACCGACTCTGGAACTCCCTCCCCAAGGACATCAGACAAGCCCCTACGTTGGCAGTCTTTAGGAAGAGCTTGAAGATCTGGCTATTCTGGTGTGCCTTTCCAGAATAGGAAAACCCCAGCAATACGTCCCAAAAGCACTTTATTAGAGATTAAGATTGTCCGCATATTGCACCTATCCAAAAATCCTTATATATCACTCAGCACACTCAGCACTTTTTAATCTGTAACCATTACATTTGCCTGGCCTAGTTTTTATTGTGTCACGGTGTGTTGTTTTATTGTTTACTGTTATTGCTTTAATGTTTTTGATTTGCTTTGGTTTATATGTAATTGTTATATTGTTGTTTTATTGTGGCCTTGGCCTTTGTAAGCCGCATCGAGTCCTTCGGGAGATGCTAGCGGGGTACAAATAAAGTTAATAATAATAATACCCAACTCATCAAGCCGCTCCTCATAGGGATTCATGGTCTCTAGACCTTTGATCATTTTAGTCACCCTCTGGACACGTTCCAACTTGTCAGTATCTTATTTATTTATTTATTTATTTATTTATTTACGACATTTATATCCCACCCTTCTCACCCCAAAGGGGACTCAGAGCGGCGTACAAGGTATATATACATACAGTATATTATATTACTAGCATACTACAATATCAGTATTATATATTACTATATTGTACTGTACCATTATATTGTAATATTATTAGTAATATTACATGTAATATAAATTTTGAACTGTGCTGCCCAGAATTGGACACAGTATTCCAGGTGAGGTCTAACCAAAGCTGAATAAAAAGGCACCATGACTTCCCTCAATCTAGACACTATTCTCCTTTTGATTCCATTGGCTTTTCCCCCAGGCAGCTCACCCAATGATCAGGGAACTCTGGAAGCTGAAGTCCAAAGCAACAGGGGGACCAAAGTTTGAGAACCACTCTTCTGAAGTCATCCAATTTCTGCACTATTTTAGATTTATTTTAAACCATTTCCGTCTGTAGGCAGGCCCCAAGTTATGAGCAATATAGGTTCTGTTGGGTTGTTCTTAATTTGGGTTTGTATGTAAATCAGAACATAAACATTTTTAAAGTGTAACTCCAGCATATATGTGTATGTATGGGGGGGGGGGGTGGTAACGTAGCAGGTTAAACCACTGAGCTGCTGAACTTGCTGACGGAAAGGTTGGCAGTTTGAATCTGGGGAGCGGGGTGAGCTCCCAGCGTTAGGCCCAGCTTCTGCCAACCTAGCAGTTTGAAAAAACATGCAAATATGAGTAGATCAATAGGTACCGCTTCTGCAGGAAGGTAAGGCTGCTCCATGCAGTAATGCTGTCCACATGACCACTGGCAATAGCGGATCTTTGGCTTAGAAAATGAGAAGAGCGCTACCTCCCAGAGTCAGACACGACTAGACTTAGTGTCAGGAGAAACCTTTACCTATGTATGTGTGTGTCATATGCACATACACACTCATATATGTACATACACATATGTGTTTGTGTGTGTGTGTATGAATAAGTTTTGGAGAGTATAGGGAAAGGTCAATACACCTGTGGGATTTGTTTTGCTGTCTGTTCCCCAGTTCAGAAGATTTCACCTCACCTTCTATCCCTTTTGATAACTGGATTTTGAAAAAGTTGACTTGCTGAAACAAGGATTGGAGCTAAAGCTTCGTTGGAGACACCTTTTCCTCATGATTACTCTTCCAGTTCAGGAGTGAATTTCCCTTTCTAGGAGTAGATTTCTCTCATTTCCTGTTGCCTCCCCCATTCTTTTAAGTCAGATGCTTGTAACTCGGGGATCGCCTCTACATCCACACATTGTGTGGGTCTACTTTATCCTACTGAATGGGATTTACTTGCAGGCCTGTCCTAATCACAAAGGGTGTGTCTCACTGAATATAATGGAACTTAACCCTGGGCAATCTTGTCACTTTCATTGAGAAGAAGATTTTTGAGCATCCCTGATCAGGAAATTTGAAATGCTCCAAGATTGTCCAGAAGGGGTGGCTGAGAAAGTGACACCTTTGCTTTCTGATGGCTCAGCTTTCACAAGGTTACAAGCACACAATTAATTTAAAATGTTACATATAAAATTACTTTAGGGCTATGTATATACAGTGTATATGAAACATAAATGAATTTCAGACCTGGATTTCACCTCCAAGGTATCTCATTATGTATGCATATGTAAATACAGAAATGTTTTCATGTGTATCTTTTATGGAACTGCATTTTAATATGTGTTAATAGAATTTTTAAAGTATTTGTGTGTTTTGACTGTGTTGTGACCTGCCTCAAGCGGAGAGAGGGGAGAGGTGGGTAAGAAATGAATCAAGACAGACTTTCAAGACACAAAGCCATGTAACCTAAAATATCAAGGCAGATAACCCACAATATCTGTTTTGAACCGAGTTATCTGAGCCCACATTGTCATATCATCCAGTTCAAAGCAGATAATCTGGATTTTATACAGATATGTGGAAGGGGCCTCAGATAATCCAGTTCAAATCAGATAATGTGGATTTTCTGCTTTGATAACCTGGATTATCTGGCTGTGTAGAAGGGGATTCAGTTAGAGGAGCTGTGGGCCCTTCCACACAGTCATATAACCCAGAATATCAAGGCAGAAAATCCCCCATTATCTGCTTTGAACTGGGTTATCAGAGTCTACACTGCTAGTTCAAAGCAGAAAATGTGTGATTTTTTTCTGCTGTGTGGAAGGGATCTAAAATAATCTAGTATGTGGATTTTCTGGTTTGATAACCTGAATTATCTGGCAGTGTAGAAGGGCCTCAGTTAGACAGATTTTTTTACAAGCTGCACTGACACCTACAAGACACCCATGCCGTAGTATAGAAACCTAGCAAATTTGTACGTTTTAGTCTTGTCTGGTGAGCTGATGAACTCAATAATTGTAGGTGTAAAAATTTTAGCATTTTATTACCATTTGTTATCAACAGTAGTTATATGAGAAGCATGGGAACAGACCATCTGAGGAAAGAACTGGCAGAACCACCTCTGAGTATTCCTTGTTTAAGAAAACCATGTGCCATAAATGGTCAGGGGACTTCAAGGCACTTAAAGCTGTGCTGCTGCTTCTTTTAACTTTTGTTTGACACGATTGTACAAAACAGGTTTGTTATGCGCTACCTATCACAAGTTCTATGCTGTCGATGTGGTATTGCACTGTAGTTGTACTTGATATGCATGGCATAATTGGGGTTTTACTGCAAATGTCTTTTGTTATATATATTTTTTGCTTTTCCTCTTGCATGGTATTAGATCCTAAATAGGTTCATGGACAATGTTTCTCAAACTTTCTAATATGGTGGATTAGCAAATTTATTTTCCTAATGTATCAGAACTGTACAATGTTTATACCTTTTTTCTATATTTGATTCTTTCTTTCTTGGAAACTAACCAGGGACCAGCAGCAGATGTCTTGCAGTTTGGCACCTGTTCAGAAGCTGCCAGTTTGAGTAACACTGACCTACACAATAAGGCACGAAATATATTTTTAGGGTAATACATATTACCATTCACTCTACTGGTCTTTAAAAAGTCCACAAAGTCCATCATTTCTCCTTGTCTTACACTTTTAGGAGAAACTTTATGACACCACATTCATAAAGCTGTGATTACAACAGTTCCATATTGCATAATTTGCTGTTTTGTAAGCAGCATTTAAAGCCTGGTTTCACACTTTTTCTACAGTAATCCTTAGTTAACAAGAAGCAGTGCCTAGTAAGCATCCTAAATAATGTCACTTCCTTTGATTAGCTTAGCTA